GCGTGGCCAGGTAATTCCTAATTATCTCATCAATTTCCGATTTACTCTTGCTTTTAATTTCATTCCATTCTTTTGTAACTTCGCGACAAACATCATTTCGGTTAGGGGTACTATTTCCAGTTTTAACCATGATGCTATACACATAAGCATTGGTGAATTCTTGATACTTATTTGATGAATTCTAATATCTCTATTAATATTTAGAAATAAAAGAAGAAATAGCAACTCTAAAATCCATAGTTTATAGTAAAAACTTTAACAGATCCTATATTATCTTTCTTATGATTCTTACAAATATCATAAAATCAGAAGATAGAAAGAATTCCAAAGAAATTAAATATAGATAAAGAATCATTTCTTATAGATTAAAAATCATAATAGATTAGTATTCAGAAATATAAAGCATTATAGTAAAAAATATCTTTGTAATTGATATGAGATAAGTTTTAAAATCATAAATTCTAGAGAAAAATATCAAAATCACTGTTTTAGATGAAAAATGATTGTCAAAAAGTTAAAATATCTTAGAAAGAAATTAATGATTTTATGAAATTCAAGAACTTTAAATAAATAATCAATGCCTTAGTATAATTATAGCGAATTTTAAGAGTAATAATAAGAAATGTGATGAGGTATATAATAAAAACATGAGCAAATTCGCTAAGTAAAAAGTAAACAGTTTCTATTTTATAGTTCACTAAATTAATCTAAGAATATATGAAGTTTTTTTTTATATTAGAAAAAAATACTACTTTGGAATTTGTATAAAGATTGATCAAGAATTAATTAAAATAAATAAAGTCTTAGCTATTAAATATGAATGAGAAGAGACTGAAGATAATAAGAAAAATTTTGTAGAAACAGTTAGTTATTAGATTTGTAAAGGTATGTTTGATGAAATTAAGTGACTAAAAACTAAAATAGTTAGTTTTAATAAGAAGCTAGAAAAATTTGCCAAAGGTTCCACTGAATATAATTTCCTTCAGGCTTCATATTTGCAGAAGTATTATCTATTTTCGCAAATGACTATCATAAAAAAATTAATTCATACAAAAAATAAATACAAAGATTATTGCTTACTAGCTTGAAAGATTTTTTTTTAAATAAATAAATGGGTTTAAGGTTTTGCCCCGCAACTATAATCTAACCCCAAAAATCGGCAAGAATTTAACATAGTACTGCGCATAGATGAATGATATGATAGAGTTTTTGCATAAGCCACTCCTCACGAGATGCGGGTTCACGAAGTAATTACACAACATTAATAATTCTGTACTGCGGATTATGACAATGTCGAGATTTCTTCTAGGCGGTTACTGGTGAGATAATCAGACTCATAATTGGCGATGCTTTCCTTTCATATCTTCCATCTTTATAATAATAACCTCTATTATTTCCATCATAATCACCATCATCAGAATCTTCATCCATATCCTCACATCCACTATCTGAGGTATCTCATCCCAGAAAACTTAACCAAGAGATCATCCTCATAGTCTGCACTTGCCTCTGCTGAAACTAAGGGATTTGCCCGCGCCTCTGGTAATTCATCATCTTGTTTTTTGTCCTCGAGATCATCAATGAATTCTGTATTGGACTTTTCGGTGAAGTGGTCTATTATCGTTTGTTTGAAATAGTAACCGCACTATATGTTTTAATATAATAAATCTTGTCCACTCCTATTTTATTAAATAAATTATCGATTATTAAAGCTCTATGTGTTTGTTTACATAAGGTTTACGCTTGGTATTATGATAATATAATCGTATACTTGCCCCTTCGCTCACTTCTCCCCAACTTATCATTTATCATAAAATCTTTATACATACACTTGAATTTTTAAGCGTAGAAACGTTAGCACAGTATTTCTCCTTTATTGGCTTCAATTGCATCTACCTCTGCATCACAATCATTTTCATATAGACTAACAATGTCTTGATTTTGCCGAACAATGTTTGCTGAAATTTGCCAAGAAAATAAATTTTTTATTATTACACTATTAGCGTTATATAACACGCGAAAATAAATAAAGTACGGAACGCATCTCTGATACATAACGTTTCTACAACATATGATAACCCCCCTTTTCCTATCAGGCTCTTCATCTGAGCATGTTGCCCTACCTCACGATCACACCCAAAACCTTCTTCACGCCATTATGCATCGTTTGATACTCCACAGAATCTTTAACCAAACTCCGAGATCCATCTTTGCCATGGACAGGTTTTAATTTCTTGTATCGATTAAATACAGCTATAGCAAATCTATAAAAGTGAATTCGGAAATAGGGGAAATTTTCTTTTTAGCATAGCGATCTCTACGCAAAGTTAACTAACTCATGTACTGTAGATCTTGAGATTACTAATATCAATAATCAAACACAAAAATATAAAGTAAACTCACAATGATGTAATCTATGATGAATTTGTACGCGCATACTTAGTGATTTTTTCATACCCGCATACTCTGAGTGATGAGTTTTTTACATCATTTGCTATAATAAGCTTCCCTTTGTCTCTTATAAATAAAAGTAGAATCTTTTTCATCTTTCTAATAAAAAAATTCTTTTTTTCAGACGTCTTAAACAAATGGCACAAATGGACTCACAAATAGCACCAAGTAAATGAAGAATATTTTACCTTTATGTCCATGTCCACGTCCACGTTCACGTCCACATTCACGTCAACGTCATCGTCAACGTATTTATGGAAACCTTGTAAGTCTACGAAGGTCTAACGATAACAGTCGTAGAAATGACATTCATGGTCCACACATTACGTTTCACATTCACGCGTTCACACACGTTTCACGTTCACATTCACGTCACGTTCTTACACTTACACTTTCATTTTTTAGAACCAAAAAAACAAAAGACTTTTTGCTGTTCAGTCCAGCAATCTGTTTTTATCGGAGGAGTACATCTGGACGGTGTTAGTAGTGGCAAAATTAAAAACCTTTTATCAGATATTATCCAAATGGAAAATTGTCATATACTAAAGTGCAAGAGCGAAACTTACGGACATATACATTTCAAGACCGAGAATGATGCTGGGTTATTTTTTCAACGTGTTCAAGGACAAACCTTTGAATTCGAATATAATGATGATCCTGGCGAAATTAAAACAATTTCAATTGAATTTTTTCCGTCAAAAGAAATAACCATACTATTTATAAGATTCAGGTAATACGATTAAATTTTCATTGGTGTGATTTACATTTTCATTTACTGTATGTACGTACTATATTTTTTATCTTGTTCTAGATTAATTAACCACGAACTGACATCTCAACCGGGAGCACCACCAGTACCACAACCACCAGTACCAGCACCGGAAACATCGAAAGCACTACCAATACCGGGAACATCGAAAGCAATGATGTGCACCTGGAAGATTGGAAGCACTCTTGGAAGTACCTTTGGAAGGGTTTGAAGCATAGTCCTCTAATAAATTCATTTGTATTGGAAGCTTCCAATCAAATTTTATACTATTGAAAGCATAAATGCACATCACTGATCGAAAGTACCACCAACACCGGGAATAACGATAACAGCACCACCAGACCGGGCATTGGGAATAGCAACTCATCAACCGGCATCTTAACTGGCATCTCAACCAATGATTATTTGAGGTTTAAAGGCGTTGATTACCTTTTAAGAGATTCTTTTAACAGTAACATTGGAGAAGACGAAATAATGAAATTCAAAAACATTCCTGGTTATTATTTTCTCCAACTCAACGAGGAAAGGCTTACAAAAAAGCCGTTTAAACTGGACTAGAGTTGGAACCGGTTAATTTTTAACCGGTTAATTAACCGGTTCACTATTTTAACTGGTTATTAACCGGTTAAAGAATTTTAAGCCAATTCCAACCTCTAAACTGGATTATGTTTTAGCAAAAAATATTGCTGAATTAATCGAAGGATTAAATCATATTCTTTTAGCTGAAAAAAACTTAGTATAATTAATATGCCTTTTGAATCAGTTGTAAAACTTGTTAAGGAAGTTAAGCAAGAGAAAGTATATAATTCTGAGAATATGGTTTAATAAATTCTCTTGCTATTAACAAAAGTAAATAAATAATTAAAATTTTCTAATATATTTAATTTATATAAAATAAGACCCGTCTGTTACCAGAAGTAGTGACCAATATATAAAAAATTGTTTATACTGTTATAACTAGTATATAAGCTATGATCACATAATTTGAACACATTTAATTACTACAGATTATGCAAAAGATTTCTTTCATTCATTCAGGATTCTGTACACTTAGCTTTATTATCTATGGTCAAGTTAGGGCAGTGACATATATTACCTAATATCATTTAATTATAAGCATCCACCCCCCACCCCCCACCCCCAGGTAAGATATTCTGATCACGTGCATAAAAATTATTTCCTTTTATAGAATTCATATATCAGTTGTA